AATCTAACATGACCCCAAACAACGAAATCTCATATTTAATATATCTCATTAAATGAAAATGAAAATTATTTTTTGTGGGGCTTTTCACACCTACATTTTTCTGGATTCAAATTGTTATACCGCTTGGGTGTGATATCAGTTAATAAATGTCTAAAACTTAAAAATCAAGAAAGTTTACATGCCGATCCCCGACTTGGCAATCGTTTTTTTTTTTGTTCTTGAAATTATAAATTTCTGCTTCGACAACTAAGACCATTAGCATTACATTTGTAGTAAAATAGAAGAAAAAAATAATAATTAACTAAATACATAAAGTTTAGAAAACAATTTAGTTATTTTTGTACATTGCAATTTTTTGGTTTTATCTTATATTAGGTTTAACACTTTTATTGTTTTGAAGAATTCTGTTGTGTTGATTTTGTTATCTGGGTTTGGACCTAGACTTGTTCCAATAAGGTGGCTTATGTTGAGTTCCTATATAAAAATTGTATCACGTGCCTATATGTTTATATTAGTGGTGGCCAGTAATAAGAGTCTCTAACAGCACAGTATAATGAAAAATATGTAAGAGACAAGATCAAGAATCATATAGGCGTGCGCACGGGCAGGGCTGATTGGGCTTTAGCCCTACCTGAGATGATTTTTTTTATACGTAGGGAGTTGGTACCTCATGAAGACAAGGTTATATACCTACTTTAAAGTAGAAATATAACCCTCTTAATTTTTAAACGTTTGTGTTTACAAGAGAGACTATACAGGGCGGTTTATTTAAAATTGAACACTCATTATTTCAAAAAGTGTAATTTTTTTTGAAAATATTTTGTATATAGTTTCGAGTCGTTTATAAAACAACTTTGTTATTAGAAAATTATATTTTTAAATATTTTTTATTTTTTAAAATTTTTTTTTTTTGACAACAGTGTTTTAATTTCATATTCCAAATTAGAATGTTTCGATACATAAAAATCGAATTTAGTGCTAGTCGTTAAAAGTATTTAAAGTTTAGATGAGTGGAGTTGAGTAGTACGGGGTCACTAATGTGTGTCCACTACTCCACTCATCTAAATTTTAATATTTATATCTCACAAACTAATAGCCCTAAAGTCAATTTACCATGAATAACTATTAATAATAAATAAATACCTATTAACGTTTATGTTAGTTGAAAATTTTTAATATTATATATTATATTTTGAACGTTTTTGAATAAATTGTTTTATTAGATTATATCTGGTTAAAATTTAAATCAATATTGATGAATTTTGTATGTGTGAAATAATGAAAACTGATTGTTTACATTTTCCAGTAACCAACAAAAGGGTCACTTAAAAGATTGTAGTGAAAATGTCTATAATTTTTTTCTTGTGTGACCATAACAAGGGGCAGGGTGATCAGATTAAATTCAGCCATACCTGACTCAGAGGTCTGGGAACGCCTATGTGACAAGAATAAAAAGGTTTCCAACTATCGTAATTAAGAAAATACAGCAAATGTAATAAAATATGCATAATTCGAAATAATATTTTATAAATACGGCTCTTTATTGTGTTTATCTTAAATAGGTTTTTATTGAATTATAACTCTAATAAGAGTTAATATATAAACACTATACAGGATGATTTTTTTATTATGAAATACTCATTATTTCAAAAAGTATTAATGTTTTTGAAAATATTTTTTACATAGTTTCAAGTTGTTAAAAAACAACGTTTTTACTAAATAATTATATTTTAAAATATTTTTATCCTTATAGTTTGTTAAATTTTTTACTTTTTTGAAAGAAATCATAGAGTTTTAATTTCATATTCCAAAGCAGAATATTTTTCTAAGTACATATTTTGATTCATAAAAATCGAATTTAGGGCTAGTAGTTTATGAGTATACTATAAGTATTTAAAGTTTAGATGGGCGGAGAGGAGTTACCCTAAAAAATGTTTGTCCACTATTATCCTCTTGTCTAAACTTTAAATACGTATAACTCATAAAATACTAGTCCTAAATTAAATACTAGTATCAAAATACTTAGAAAAATAATCTGCTTTGGAATATGAAATTAAAACGCTATGTTGTCATTCAAAAAAGTAAAAAATATAAGGATAAATAATATTCAAAAATATGATTTTTTTAACAACTTGAAACTATGTAAAAAATATTTTCAAAAACATTAATACTTTTTGAAAGAATGAGTGTTTCATGATAAAAGAATCACCTTGTATACGTCCATTATAAAACACCATCAATAACATTTTATTTTAAGTACAATTTTCAAGACGAACATTTCTAATTTTGTGCTCCTTATAATTTTGAAACCCGGAAATTTATTAAATGATGTTTATATATAGATCCTTAAAGTTACCTAGGTACATCATTTTATATTATATAAAAATATTATGTTTAGGCTAATTTTGTAAAAATATTGTAAAATTGTCACTGTTACAGAAATGTATAATTTTTGTACACAATTTTAGTGACTAACTATACCAGCCATAAATATTATATTATATTATATGTATATCATGTTCGATTTTCTTAGAGTATAATTGAAATTGAATAAGCAAACCGTGACAAAAGAGTTGGACAAGTGTGTAGGTCTCAATACGGTCAGAATGGTCAGACAGTGTGAACTCTGTTTTTCTTGCAATGCTTATATGCTGCCGAAAATTACAAAGAGTACCTAATGATACAATAGAACTATTGTCGATTGTAATTACTTTACCTTATTCGGTGAATTTTAAAGATAATGGACTCCTACCTAATCAATAATGTATGTACCTATTATACAAATCTGGTTAAAATTACAAGTTGGTTAAATATTATTTGATTTAATCACACAGTAGACGCAATGATTTTAAGAAAAAGTAAATATAAATACATAATTCTTGTTTAATACTTAAATGGACACAAACTTATAATTGTCTAAGCCATTATAATTTATAGTATGCAATGAGAGGAAACAGTAGAAATATAGGATTAACTAATAAACTAAAAAACAAAAAGGTTTGTTATTTAAAAAAATTAGAAATGTTAAATAAATAATGTGTGAATTGGGTAATAAGAAAAAAACGAATTAGTTAATGTTATAGTAATATTTTTTCTACACCAACTTTTAGAGAGACTTTCCGGGAAAACCGTTAGAGCAGGAACTTTAAAAACCTGGTCAGGAATTCACAGGAATTGAGTACTAATTATTGGCATAAAGAAAATTGTAAAAGTCAAATTGGGGGGGATGGGATAACGTACATAATATTAAGTTATTTCTCGAGTCGAGTGCCTCAACGTAGTTTAGTCAAAAGTTGACATAGTTCAATCAAGTTAATTACATTTGATAAATATTTCAATAACTATCTAGTAATTAAGTAGGTACCTACATAGGACGCACACAATATTCAAATAAAATTCTTTAAAAAAAAAAAATGTTGCAAGTTTTGCAGTATGGAAACTTAAAAATTAGAGCTTAGAAAAGCAGGGAAAAACGATGTAATATCTCTGCCCCTCTATACAGTTTCAGGAGTAAAACTGCCCCTATTTTCACCCCGCATCACCCACAGAATATGCCAATGTGTTTCGCCAAGGGTCGTATAAATATATGTAAATATAATTATAAATAGGTACATGTATTAAGTCAGTAACTTTAATAGCTTTATTTTCTGATTGACGTAATGTACCACCGTAACATATATAGGTATACATATTAAATAGTGGAGTTATGGAGTTGTTTATTAAATACAATATTGAGTTGTTCAATATCAAATAAAATGAAATCTAACTAACACAATCATAAGTATAGATAACAAATATAATAATATTTTTTAAAACACAATTTTTTTTCCTTTATTCTAGTGAAATAAATTAACAAACACTAATTATTAATTAAGTACCTCCTATTAACTTAAAAGTATTAACATTTAAAATAACGAAGAAGTGAACAATTCAGTATTTGATGAAATGCAGGGGGAAAAGATTTAGGTACCTACTCTATATTGTCCAGTATTACGTGAATTGGACCGCTTTGCGCTGGCGTAGCGGGGCGTAATATTATAATGGACATAAATAATTATTATCACATACAAATATAAAATATTTAAATTTGAAACCATCGCATAAATAATACAACTATAATCTATAACCCATCTATAAAATATGAAACATCGTAACAGAATATTATAATATAGATTTTATAAAGAGTAATTATTATAAAAATTAAAACAAAAACAAAATTATCCGATCAGAATCGAATCGAGATCACCTATACTGCCACATATTATACAGCAAGATGATTCACCAAGGTTAGGTACTCGCCCCTTTTTTTCTTCGATAATGTAGCTATATAAAATCCAAGTTTTGGAAATTTTAAGTATACTCAAAGATCATGTTATTTTCAAATTATTGAGATTTTTGTTCTACTTAAGGAGACCGATAGAGATACAGTTATACAAGCTTCTGTTTTTCAAATGATATCCCCATATTTCACTATGAATTATTTAGCGGATGTGGGGGCTTTATTAATTTGAACATTTTAGTATATAATGTTAATCTATAATAATTTATAATTTTTAAAAATGGTCCTAGAATAATAAATACTAAATTGAATATAATGCCTAATTTATATTTTTGTAAACCCTTTTTTAAGGAATATTATATTTATTATATAGGTACATTTTAATAACTGAGAAATTATTCGTTCGAATTTTGAAGTAGGGTAATCAAAATTTCTAGAAATATTATCCACTTAATAATTTACAGTAGAAATGAGGGTTCTTAAAATAGAAACTTCTATTGCCACAGGACACTCCTTAAGTAGAACAAAACAAACCCCCAAGAGTTTTAATATATGATATTTAAGTATATTTAAAAATTGCAAAAATTAGAACATGAAATTCATTATTGAGCGTGCTTGGTGAATCACCCTGTATATTATATTACAATACAATATATTGTGTTGTATAACATGACGCGACGATGAATTTGTTTTCAATGTTATTCCTGTGACCGTGGTATACTCAAATCTTTTCGCTCTGGATCTCGGCCGTGCAGTCCGTTTTCACCCCGTCGCACTCCTGAGCCCGATCGTTGCTTACGCTGGTGCCGTTATCCTCGTCCTCGCTGTTCAGCGTGATATCTCGGATCGAAGGTCTGGGCCCACGGCGCCACTGTTCGTTGCTGGGCTTGGCCTTGGTCAGCAGCTTGGGGCCGGACAGAGAGACGATGATCGCACCCGCAGGGGCAGTTAACAGGATGGAGATGATGCACACCATCACGATCGTCTGGGAGTATTCTCTGTCTTGATCTTCCTTGGCAATCTCCAGTACGGCCGGACCCAGAGCGGCCTGAAAACGATACCACGAGCGTTTTTTAAGAAAAATATGAGACAGTCAATTATTGTGGATGTGATCTAATAATTTAACCGAGGACGACATTAAGACAAGATGAACGGCGAATACAAAATATAGTTTATTATATTTTGGTACAATATTATGATTTGAGGATGTTTATAGGTACTTTTTTTCACTCAAAATTTGATTTTAATAATTAAAATGAAACATAACCTCAGCTTTTGGAAATAATTTAGTTTGTTTTTTAATTGAAAATCTCTTAAGTCGGCGGGCTAATATTAGATCAACACTATAAGAATAAAATAAATCATTATTTACTTGAACAGATGCTTTGGCCATCCACGATAATGAGATAAACAGTTTTTCTTTAAAATTCAGAGAACTCCCAGACGCTGTTATGATCGTTATTAAAATCCGTGACTAAAATGAATAATGAAATGCCATGAATTATAATTTATTTGGCCCGATTTCGCATAGTGTGTATAATATAGAACACAAATAATAATAATAGTATTATTGTTATTTATTACGTTGAATGGCACGGTAAAAACTCATGTGTCACATTGAGTTTTAATTTTTGAACATTAGGTTTAGGTAGGTATTAATATTGGTTGAAATAACCAATATAAATACATGGTCGACAACCACTTTTAATTTTACGTACCACAAAAGCGATGGCGACACACATAACAATTGCCGTTACGAATGCCAGGTCAAGTTGATTGAGTATAATTTGTGTGCCTGTCAATCCAAACAGTATTGGTTCGAAAATCATCCAAAATATTTCAAAAGCCGTGGCCACTGGGTTCTAGAATAGGATCAACCGAAAACATTATCACGTTAAATATTGTACTCGTACGACGATAATATAAATCGCCTAACTTTAAAAAAAAATCTCATTCTAAATTCTAACGGCCACATCTTGTATAAATAATTTGTATGGCACTAACATTAATTCGTTATGATAAAGTAACTATATACTTGACATTACGCATCTGCAGCGATTGAACCGTTTGCGTTTAGTTATTACAAACTATTGGTGTTTTGCAAATTAGGGTAAGTACCTAAGAAACATAACCTTGAGGTACCTACGTACTGGGTAGAGACAGTCGAATACTTGACTAACATTATCCATGTGCATGTAGTCATGATTGATAAAACAAAATTTGTTTCAAAAATATTACATGAAATAATGATAAAATTTGTGGAAAGTTAAAAAATTATTGCACTACCATTCACTATGCAGGAGCAAATTGACAATACTTATACTTACACATAGATATATACATAGGTACTTGTTAAAATTACAAGACATCGTATGTGTGTTTATTGACTTTAATGGTTAAACTGCTTAAAAATTTCAACTTTTAATACAATGGAAGATAAATTTTTTAACGTGTATTGTTAACGTAATTCAGTATTTTTATACAAGGCACTTGAAATATTATTGTAGCAGTTGAAAATTATTAAAAATACATAGGCACAACTTTTTGTCATTAGCATTTAAGGTACAATTTTCGAAAACATTTATCAAATATTTAATTTAAAAATGATTTAGTAGTTAAAAATGTATAAAATTTTCAACTTTTATAGATAATTATTGAAAATTTAAAACAAGGTTCTACGTAAGTAAGCTATTTTGTAACCAAAAAATCTCAAAAATTTAAAAACACAGTTTTAATATTTATGTTCAAATTAGGACAAAATTACATATTAAATAACCAAGAATTACAATTTTAGTTATTTTGTTGTCATTTTATAATATTAATTCAATTTACCGGCTACCGTATTAATAATAAGTAATCACAATAGGACCTATATATATATATGTGTTTATAAACATAATATAAAATATCCACACTGACAAACCGTCTTCGCTCAGATTCGTTTTTCGTATACAATGATGTATTATTATAATATCATTGAATTCAAATTTAATACCATCCATTATACAGTGACCCACTTGTAACCTACTGTATAGCAGAGCGACATCCACTTGCCCACATATTTTTATTGTGACCATTATTATTATTATTATCAATGTTCGCAGCCGTCATGAATCAGACTCACGCGTTTTATAAATTTCCGTTAGAAACAATTTAAGAGAAACTTTGTATTAAATCGTTAAGATTTTTGCTAATTAAAATTCAAATTTTTATAGATTTTTAACTACAAAATAAATTGTTAATTTTTGTGGTTTCAACAAACGGTTTTAAAAAAATGTTATTATATCCATACATATTCGATATTTTTTAATTGCTGTAAAGACAACTTGAAAAATTACACATCATTTTAAAATCGTAAAACTAATACATTCATCGCTTAGCTTAGAATCTATATCATTCTAAGATAATCTGATAATAGCAATAATTAAGTAACATAATGTCATAATATGTATAGTAGAAAAAACACGTGACTTTTAACAGTTTATACTTTATATCGATAGTAATTTATTTATTTTTAATTATTAATTAATAATGTTTTTTCTGTTTTTTGTATAATATTCTAAAAATGTAATTCCAAATTTTCTATATTTATATTACTAGCAATATAATAATATACCTATTGTGGCTTGTTACTATAAATAATTTTACCAATCTTTCGTATAATTTTTCTAAACCAATATTATTACCCAATAAAAATTGTTTTAAATAAACATTAACTTTTAAATGTATGTTATTTCAAAACTATTATTTATACTTAACCATTAACATACATCTTCAATATTCCACCCTTGTTTAGTCCAAAAATAAATTGATGTGAACGATGAGATGATCACAGCTAATGGACCTGCGCCTTCCAAATGTGCACCTTCAAAACCCAATACAGCTAATAATCCACCTCCAGTCAACATTAAAATGCGCAGTGGTACCACGTAAGGCTGTATAAACAGAACAATTACAGACGATAAATGTATTAATTCGTCAAGGAAAAATTTAACTTAGTACTCGTATATTATCTAAATATATAAAAATGAATATTTATCTATCCGTTTGTGTGTGTGTATCCTTTATGCATTCCTAAACGGCTGGACTTATGACATTTTTTGTGTGTGTTTGAGTGGTTAATGTTATGATTTAGATTCGATTAGAAAGCTGTCATTTTTTATGGACAACGAAATGCGCGGGATCAGCTAGTTAATAATAATATAATAAATTATTAAATTATTAAAATAACAAATTATTTATTAATACAAAACAAAACGTTCGTACCTAATTAAAGTATTATAAAAATTACCATATATATTATTTTTAATAACTACCTATATTATTTCTTTTAAAATAAGGAGTTCTCTAGTATTTTGTCCCTAACGTCTATACTTGTCTTGATGGCTTATATTTACATTAATGTAAGTAATAACATTTAAAGACGTCATAGACGGACAATATTACAAAAATAAAATCATTTAAAATGTATTATACTCCGTAGGTAGTTGCTAGGGCTCTAAAGCCCTAGACAATTACTAAAACAATTATTTGATTATTTTTAACAATATATTTTGCAATGATACTTACATCAGTTCGTTCTGGAACATATTTAACAATGTAACCCCAAACTACACCGTACAATATCCCAACTGCTATTGATACTGGACTTAACATTAAATTATAACTAACTGAATCTGAAAGACATAAAGATTTATTAGGCAATAGCATATAAAAATAACCAGAAATAACTATACCACAGTTTTATTTTGATACAAAAATAACATTTTAAATGGCAAAACATAAATTATGAGTTTACTTAAATAGCATGGAATTTGAAACTATAAACAAAATAGGATTATACTGTAGACACACGGTATACACATACGACTATACCATTAGCAATGGCTAAATTAGTTTAATATTTAAATGGTAATATTTTATATTTGTACTACAAAAATAATATGTATAAAAATGACATGGCTATAAATGACCTGAAACATATAATCCAAGCAGGTACCTACAGCAAAATAATATTACATTTAATTTAAATATATTATGAATTAAATTTGGTACTTACATTGAAAAAGAATATTGTAGTTAATTTAGTTTATTACTATGTTTATCGCAAACATTTTATACGTGTACGTACTTTTTCCAAAAATCATGCTGGTGCCAACTCCAAAAGCTATGACGGATGCGGCGTCATCAATCCCAGCGACTGCTATGATCAACGTCGGGATCCCTTTGGCCACACCGTAACCCTTCGTTCGCAAACGAAATAGGCAAGGGACTACTACAGCTGGAGCCACGGCAGCGATAATCGATCTACGACAGTGGGCAGGTGCCAAAAGTCGTGTTATAATATAGGTATTACGATTGGTATACGATTACTGTGTTATTACATGAAAATCTTTAGGTATGCATAGAACAGAAATATTTAGTCGAATAATAACTCATAATAACATTATTATGCGATACTCACCCGCAAAGTATAGCGAATTTCCAAGGTAAACTCAATAGATAGTGAACAGTCACCGCGATTACGGCTGCTTCGGTACACCACGGAATGAGAGCAAGGAACAACACTCTACAGTATAATTTTTTCAACGCTACTGGGTCCAAGTCCAAACCCGCTCTCGTAAATATTACCACTAACGCTATTTTTCTGAAAAAAATTCCAACTTGCAATCCACACGTATGTTTTTTTATTTTACACAAGGGTTGCATATAACTATTGGTCAAGACGTACAGCTTCAATATGGAGATTGGGTGATGAACAAAAAAAATCATCACAACCGAAACCAGTGGCGTAATTGGCTCCTAAGTCTTTGTAGAGGGGAATGGGGAGTGGCTTGATCCCAACTATAATATATAAATATATAATATATATATATATTAAATAAATTTGGCCCTCTGAAACTCTGCCCCTCGCAACCCTATATATTAGCAATTAGCCATATTATTATATACATTATATATTATAGGTACATTATAAAAATAACTAATAATCTGATACGTGTCCCCCTGTCGGCAGTAAATACGGCAATTAAACGGTATTGTACGTCGTCTTAATATGGTGGTGTGTGAGTTGCGACTTGCTGGTTATATTACCCGTCGTCTGAAATTAATATTGTTCGTATATTATAGTATACCTATGCAAAATAAACCGTAGATATCGTATTGGCACCTTATCTACCTACGAGTGAACTAAGTGAACAATATAAAGTAAAATAGATAAAATGTATTTTTTAAAAAGTAGTAGAGGCTTCAAACGATTGTTCCCCCTAGCCCCCTAAGCCTACTTAGACATAAATGTATTATTATTATATTAATAGACCATATTTATACTTAGTTATAGTAGAAAAAACATCTCTTTAACAATTTTCAATAAGTACAAGAAGCTTAATTTAATTAGTTATTAAAGAAAAACATGTGGTGACCATGCTTAGTATAACAAACAGATTTAAACGAAAATATTAAAAACAAAATTAAATTATTAACAAAAAAATATATTTAATTTTTTCATAGTCAAAAATATGAAGTTTTTAACCTCTGGTTATTAATAATAGTAAACTAACAATAATTATTACTACATGATAATTTTTATACTAAAAAACAGGGTTTGCATTTGAAAAAAAAATTCCGTTTTATGTTATTTACAATTAAAATGTTGCGTTTATTGTTATTTAGAGTTAAAAAGTTATCCTAGTTTTGCGTTTATCATTATTTAAAATGGTGTTTATACCTATTAAATATAAAAATAATAACTAATGCGGGTAGGTAATAGTCCGGATACGGAATATAATAAAATCAATTCTTAGATTGTATGCATGAAATAAATGTTTCTACGAAACCAATAGACCTTTAAAATAAAATATTTCGTTTTGCGTTATTTTTTGTTTAATGATATTCTATAAATTACTTTTTACGTTATATGTTTTGTTTAATGATATATAATATATTTTGTTAATCGTTATGTTTTATTTTGGGGTATTTTAATATTTTTGATTATCGCTTTCCGTTATAATTACGTTTACAAATTTCAATATTTTTTTGTTAAATATAACGTATGCAAGCCCTGATAAAAAATGTATTACGGCCCCTTGTTTTAAAGTAAAAATATTGACTATAGGATTTAGTAATGATTACTGACTATTAAATATATAATATATAATGTAACGACATTTTTGCTTAGTAATATCCTACATACTACCTTTTTTCTATTTAACCTTTTTAAGACGTTTCAAAGTAATATTGTACTTGTACTCTTTGGCATGTTCCAAATAGTTTTAGCCGTTTTTATACAGATAATTTTGTGAAAATGGGCTACCTATCACATTCCATTACTAACTCATCGCACACACCAACAACAACAACAAATCAATGTAGGGTGATTCAAGGGACCAAACCAGATGCAATTTGAACGGAAAGCAATTTTTATACACGTACCTCAAGATTGACACGAAGTCCTTGTATTGGTTATCTATTTCGATGAGGCCGACGTTCTTATAGATAATTCCGACCAGAAGCATACCAACGAGTGCGGGCAAGGTGAGCATGCGAAACACCCATCCGCCCAGGTAAGCAAACACCACTAGCACGGCGATGCTGAACAACTGGCCGCCCGGTTTAGCGGTCGAACCCATCACGGCCATCACCACACCCCAGCACAGCGTAACGGTGACGAGTAGCGCCAGGATCCGGGCCACGTGCCGGAACGAAGGGCAGTAAGGATGTGGGCAAGTCTTTGGCCAACATCCCGGCTCCCATCCTGGTCCCACTTCCTTCTGACGGCATTTCAGGCAGAATATATACCACCAGGAGCTGAAACGACAACGTGACCATTATACCATATGATACAATGTGATTATACAATGGGTTACACGTCATCCGGAAACTTGAAAGAGTAAAAAGTTGACTTCATACTCCACCGTGATTACTGGCAAAAAAATCGTTTTGAAGACTAAAATTATGGTAAATTCTTTATGTGGTGAAAAAATATTGGACAAATTGATACATGTAGAGTAGCTAAATTGCCTAACTAAAACGCCGCGTGATTGTAATATTGCGATATTTTTTTTAAGGTAATGTGGGCATATGGGCATTTAGGTCTAATTATTGTGCAATTACTGAAAACTACTAAAACAATCGAAATTAAAGTACACGCGTGATTTAAGCATGCCTGTGAACTCTATCCAAAATAGTCTTCACAAAAAATATAATGAAACAAACACATAACTGTAGGATTAATACATTCTTTGCTTTACTCAGAATCTATAATTATAACAAACATAATTAATATATTTACATATTTACATATTTCATAGCTATTAATAATTATTATGTTACATTATAGACTAAAACTTAAAACAAAACAAAACTTAACCTATAAACGTAATAAATATTTTTTTCTGTATGATACGAGAGAGTGCTTTTAAAATGTATTACCTATAATAACCAATATTTTAATATTATAACATTATAATAATTAAATATAATATTAATTATATTATTAATATAATATTCTACAATAATATTCAAACACCCAAGTAACTTATCTATTAAAATAAAATATATGACAATCGAACTATGAACGTTTGGTACAGTAGAATGATGAATTTATGTTCATATTTTAAAAACTAATAATAATCCTCCTATTCTCAAAAGTCATATTAATATTGTTTTATTATATTATGTAATGTTCAACTAAAACAATTTTAAACATATATCTCAGGGCGATATAATAATATAGGTATATAATATAATATTATTATCTATCACTCTAACGAATCACGGAAGATTCGTCCTCGTCAAAAAACCAGTCCACGGACGTTTGGTCCCAGTTAATTATTAGAATATTACTATTATTGATCCACCAGTATTTTAAATCAAGTTTAAATCGCTTATTTTTAATTTAAAATGTTAGTATAATCTATATAAATAAAATATTATAATATTACCAAAAATATAATTTTCGTCAGTCAAATTTAATTTTAAATAATATAAGAACTATATACAAATGTAATACAATATTTAGGTGCAATACAAATATATTTACATTATTATTTATGTTTTGATATTTCAGTCACTATTTATTTTTAATTTAAGTAAATTATTTTTAAGTACTTATTATTTTCCAAAAATTTTAAATTTTAGTATAATTTAATTTCTTAAATTTAAATCCATTGCCTACAATATAATTTTCATCAGTCAAATTTAATGTCTAAATAATATAAGTAAACTATGACTAAATAACGTCTTATAACTCCCAGAGAGGCCAAATGTCCTATATTAATAACTTATGGGGAGGAAAGTCCGTTTACCCACACTAACACAACCTTTTATAATAAGGTGTATGATCGTTATATTTATTTTGATAAAATTCATAGAAAATATCATAAACAATAAAAAATATTACATCACTGTGTCTACATATTTTATAGACTTATATATATATATTATGAAATAAATAAAATAAATGTTGTATCGTATATTACACACCTATTATATACAGGTCAATAATGAAAATATTGATGATTGAAATATACAATTTCAATTAAAATTCCTGCGTCATCAACTAGATGTGAAACTGTGAAAGCATCTTTTCTTGTTAAAGTTTTCAAAAATGATTTTTGGAGATCATTTTTTAATTTTTAGAATCTCTATTACTCTATATTATCAAATCTAAGCATTTTAGCAATTGAAAAAATCGATGTCAAATTAAATAATTATCCTTGATTTGACTAAATCACTGATCAATTTATAATATTGATAAACCACTCATATTAAAATTTAAATGAGATTGTTTAAAAGGATAAAAATTATTAAGTGTTAACTTACTATATAACCTCACGTCAGATACAGTTCGATTTAGTAGTGGTCGACGGTCATATACGTGAGTTTGTAAATACATTAAAATTAGTGTATAATGTTTGAAAAGTGAATATTTTTGTCATATTTTCGCTGTACTTGGATGAAAAGTTAAATACCTATCTTGTGTTATTATTACTTATATAATATTTTATCAACATTAAATTTAAAATTGTATTATTTATATTAATTAACTATCACAAAAATGTAATATCGAATATTATGTCGATCCATTAAATATTTTATAATATACACCTATAATAGGTATATTATTTTATATAATTATATTAAGTTATTTTATAAATTATGTATAAGCCAATAATTAAAAAATATACTTAAAATAAATGATTATTTGAATATGAATCATGTACATATAACATCATCTTAAAAATCCTTCAATTTTCAAACTTCAATTTATCTTCTGGTAAAAAGGGGAATATAGGTATAGTTGTAACTTTAAGGTGGTCAAAAGTAAAAAATACCCAACACTTTTCTTAATCATTGAAGAAAACGAATTTATATGCACTTAGGTACCTACATTAAATTAAAAGAAAATGAATACCTAGTTTATTTTGAAGTACGTAATTGAATGTACCATAATGTATTATTTTTGAGATATTTGTACTAAAAACAAACATAAATGTATGTATTAAATCTTATTTTAATAATCGTGTATGACCATAAAATTATAATTATTAAGTTATTTCATTAGTAGATGCTATTAAAATGTAGCATTTCTCAGTTTGTGGTGTTGTACAAATAAATAAGAACAACTTGTATTGACCCAAATATGCTATTAACATTGAAAACATATTTTTTTTTTTAATTGCCATAAAAAATTAATAATGCTTCCCAGTTCTATGAATGGCAATTTTTTTATTATTATATTATTGATATCTTATATTATGATTTTAAAATATATTTTAAGTTCATTTTTATGTTTAAAATGCCTATCCATACCTATAAAGTTTTTATTATTATTAAAACGAGTTTAATAGAATTTCGTCATCATCAAACGACAACAATAATAATGATAAACAAATAATAATTTGTTAAAACGTGTATATTATAAGTATTCACCAAAAAAGTATGTACAAAAGTATAATGGTGTTTTATTTATCATAAAATTGTCATTAACATATTATAATGTAACTATTTCAGTAATAATTCATTAATTTATAAACACAATGCACATGACGGCTAGGACGTTTCATTTCATTTTCATTAAATAAAATAAATATGTGTTTATATCAGTTCGTGATAACTATAATAGCTAGTAATATCAGATAATTAATGTGGACTCAACACTTTTCGTATAATTCATTAATTTTCATTTTAACATAATATTGTTATAACGATATCGCGTACGTCCACAGGTGCACACTCATTACATGAATGTACCTACCTATATTATATAGGGTACATCTTATATGTCGTTGTACTAATGGTTTTTTAAAGAATCTATGGATTGATAAAATAGAATAACCAAATAAATTTTAAAACGCATGTTTCATTATTTTCGACAATTTCTTAATTAAGCACGCATTTGTACCAAAAACTTACTTAATTATTGTTTATCTTAAAGGCTATTTAGTGCTGTTTTTATTTAATATTTTAATAGTTTTAACTAAATTAATTGAAATAAATACTTATTTATTCATCTAAAATGAAGCTTTCCTAAAATTGATTTTTTTTTTTTTACTTTACTATGAGTGTGTTTACTGTTAACATATTTAGTAATCATTAGATTTTTGATTCAAAATTTAAAAATATGTGATCAGTTATATTAAATTATGGTTTAATATATGAATAATTTTAGATCTAATAAAATGTATTCTAATTATTTTAACCAAAACTATTAATGAATTTTAGTGAACCATATTTGTGATTCGAACATAAAGATTTCCAGAAAAAAATCACAACCTGAAAACTCATAAGAGTTTTGAACCTTAAAAAAATTAAGTTGATTATTTTGTTGGCACTTGCATGCATAAAGAATATTTGAATTATCATTAAAAATTAAAAAAACAAATACATTTAATTATTTTTTTGATTTTATTTTATGTCAATTGGCAGGTAATCATTAAAACTCCATGTGTAAAACAACTAAAATGAATAATATTATTACAATATTATGATTTGTACTATAAATTAGATATATAATAATAATATGCTAGTACTAAACAAAGCCAATTTTATTATTTTCAAGCCCAATATTAACATAAAATCTGTGTGGTTATAAGATTCGTATTTGTATGCACATAGAACATTGCCTTAAAATTACTTATTTTTTAGTCACGTAGTCACATATATTTAATAAAAATAGTTAATAATCATCAATAATTAAAATAATTTGTAAGCCCAAATATGTATCTAACTACTGCTATATAACTAATTTCACTAATATTATTATTATAATGTATAAGTACAAAACTTCTCATGAAAAAAATAAACATTTTAGGTTAAATACAATTTTTTACGAAACAATAAAATTATTTATTTTATATATATTATAAGTTATAAATTTCAAAAATATAATATATACGTCTACGGCTTGTAAAAATTATAAATTAAATTTTACAAGTTTTAAAAAACTAAATACCTTTATAATATGCTAATACAATAATACTCTTCATTAAAATTCACTGTTGAGTGTTTATTATTTGTACTCGGATATAGAAAAATACATGAAATAAAATGCAGAAGATTACTTTTTTTTCCCGTCGTTTGTGCTGAAATTGAATTTGTATACTTCATCGCTGGTTTGTTTAACATTAATAGCAGATATGTATTCCGTACTATGTTTAGGGGAATTCATTTAAAAAAAACAATCTTATTACCTAGATTTAATTATAAAAGTAAACAAATAGAACTATTAAACGTATCGTTGTAATGATAGCATTAAACTAAAATGCAGCGTTAGGGTAATAATACACTATACGAACTGAAAAACGGGTGTAACACTATTTTGTGTTGAACGCACACATTACTCATACCGTGTGTAAGAGTAATAAACCAATCATTTCATATTTTTTTTTTATTCCAGTCAACTGACTATTTTTGTAATATATTTTTTTTTTTTAAATAAATTATACAACAAAACACCTGTTTGTTTTATTGAAATTGCCTTGTGAAGTGCGGAAAAATAACAAATGGGTGTTTGTAATTATCATAAAATATTACCTATTTCTTGTCATGAACACTACTGTTACAGTCTAACACATTTTTGGCATTCGTTTAGTGAATTTTTCGTTTTCACATTATTGCTGCCAGATCTGAGTATATTTCCTATTTTAACAGTTTTTTAATGCTCAGCCCAAGTTAACTAACTCTAATTAAACAATATAGCTACATGAATAATCGATTTACTACAATTAATGATAACTTTTAATAATTTTAAAAGGTTATAAATCATAATATACAAATCGACGAATAATTGAAACATTTTCATTTAAAAAATTAAACCATTACCTATGCTATACAGGTTTCAAACTCATAAATATAAATAATAGATACCTATGATATAGGTACACAAATTAAGCATTACCAGGCGTCAGTATTTCAGAGACCCGCTCGCAGGTGTTGGTTATTCTTTAGAATAACACTTTGATAAACCGTACTAACTGCTAAGTATCTCAAAATAGAAAATTGTTTCTTAAATATCTTCAAACCATTTTCTTTGATTTGCAGAAGTTTTTGTATTATGGTTCCGGAAGTTAGAGTTAAATATAGAAAGATAATTATTTTTGAGGTAATGAGGAATAGGTACCAAAATGGTCTATCTGAAAATTAACTACCTATACGAGTTAATAAATTCGTACAACAATTTGGATATACCTAAACAGTAAATAGTAAATACACTTAGCTTAACAGTGGTTACACTTGAAAAATTAGAAAAGAATCACCAGATTCTACAAAAGACAAGCGTATGTGTTTAAAAACGCTTTATTGCAAAAAATTATAAACGCGGTCATATAAAAATAAACACTTGGAGATTTAGTAAGAAACTTAAAACAATATAGGTAATATACTTAACTTAATAGTACCAAAGTAAGTCATGGTAAAATATAAGACTGTCAAACCAATTATTATATTATTACCAGCATTCGAGAAACCTAAAAATTTCAAATGACCTTAATAATCTAAAAAGTCAAATCAATTTTATATTTTTGATAAAATAGGATATCTCACAGACTACAATGAAGATTAAATATTGTTATCTTATACACAAGGTATACATCATATTATTTTTTCCATTTAACTTTAAAATCAATTTTAATCTAGCCAGGGAATCAATTAATAATTATCTGACAACCTTCATCTTAGCTTAATTAAGTTAAAATAACTAATTCAAGTCTAGCTTGGACTAAAAATTCACAATATTAATTCTAAAGATAATAATTTAAGATTTAACATACATTCTTGTACATTAGTCAGTTTATTATGCACGTAAGTAGAAACAGCATAAGTCTTAACATTAAGGTGCTCACTCAGACTTAGTTGTAGCTTTTTTCGATCTTCGAGATTGATTGAGCATTATTTTATCAATGTTGATAAAATATAGTCAATTATCACTTGTTCACATCACTTTCCCGAATACCAGCATTATATATATATTATATAATAGATAGCTGGCACAAATAGGTACCTCCCAGTTTTATTTAAACACATATTAGTAACAGTTAATATTTTGTTTGCATAAATTATTTAGTTAGAATATTGTCAGTGGATTTTTTGTTCTGCAAATGCCTACCTATAGGTGTTCAAATATACGTAGTGTACATAATATACCTAGGTATATAATACAAATTATATACTATAATGTTTGCACTGCAGAATTATAATTTATAATTGTAAAAAAGGGGGAAAGTAGGTAACCACTCAGATGTACAGTATGTGTTGAGTGTACCTCGCAATTATGAATTAAGTAAGTATACTGTTATGTATATGAGAAATTTGAATTCTTTATATATACGAAAAACGATTCTGAGTGAAAACGATCTGTCAGGTTAAGTATAAACTATATTTTATGATATATTTCTACTGCATTTGAAAATGGCATTGTATGTTTGAAAAATATAATAATACGAGATTTTTATATAAAATTATACATTCAAAGTTTCAAGAACGCACAAATAATATTTTTAAATGCAAAAAAACTAAAATTGTTATTCTTCGTTTAAACATCAAACTGAACTTCAAATGTCTATAAAAAAAAAGGAATGTATATATATATTTTAGATTTCTTGGTTGCAGTATAAATTACTCATGAAAAACTATAAAATAAATTTTGGATACTTAGATAAATAATAATAATTGAACACTTTATAAATTATTAACTAGGTAGGTACGACATTATTTGCAAAATATGTTCGTGGTTTTGACAAATGTTGCCAACATTTGAACTTCAAATGATTATAAAAAAAACCGTAAATGTATCTTTAACATTTTTAAGATTAACCTTCACTACTAACCTTATATTACATTTTCAAGCTTTTTGAATCAGTCAACATTTTTATATTAACATTTATGAAAAAAAAAATTTTAATTTAAAATGTTTAAAATGCCTCAAAATAAATCAATTTATTTATAAAACGATCTCATGTGTAGGAAATAAATAATGTAATTAATGAAAATTTCAAGTACCTATCTTTGGTTATTCGTTTTTGAAAACGAAGTCGTTTTTGATAATAAAATAAGGAAATCATATTATGATGAGAAATAGTTATTTTACGAATGAATATCCAATTTCGTCAAAATTTAAACTTCAGACCCCCATAAAAAATATTTTTGGATTTATGCAGAACTTATTTTTATTTCCAATAAAACAACTTATGAGGAACCTTGTATTAAATTTTAAAATCTTAGGAGTGAATATTGAAAAAAGTGGGTAAGTGGATGTCGCTCTGCTGTACAGTAAGTTACAAGTGGATCACTCGGTCACTGTAATGGATGATGTTGAATTGGAATTCAATGATACAATATCATTGTATCTATACGAAAACCGAATCTGAGCTGAGACAGTTTGTCGGCCTTGGATATTTTATATTATTTTTAAATTGTTATTATTAATACATTAGCCAGATAAATGTAATTATCATTATTTTATTATTATCATATTTGTATATAATAATATACTTTAGAGATTTCAAGTACCCATGAATAATATTTTTCAAATATAACACAAAACTAAAATCATTCTTCTTCGTTTAAATATATAATTTCGTCCAAATTTTACAAATAAGAAACTATAATTATACTTTTTGGTTAAATAATAGCCTATACTTACGTGGAACCTTGTTTTAAATTTTAAAATAAATATAAAAGGGCAAATGTTCATAATATAATAAATTCATAATATATTTACAAGACTAAAAAGGTGGGTAAGTGGATATCACTCTGCTGTACTGTAGATTTCAAGTGGGTCACTGTATAATTTATGGTATTAAATTTGAATTCAATGATATAATATAATATCATTGTATACGAAAATCGATTCTGAGCGGTGACGGTTTGTCGGTGTGGATATTATATTTATATTTTTATTACTTATTATTAATACGGTAGTAGGTAATAGTTGAATCAATAATATAAAATTACAAAAAAAAACTAAAATCGTAATTTTTGATTATTTAATATGTAATTTCCTCCAAATTTGAATATAAAATAACTATAAAAAAAAACCGTGATTTATATTTTTGAGATTCCTTGGTTACAGAATAACCCACTTACGTGGAACCTTGTTGCAAGTTTCCAATCCTTAGCTATAAAATTTGATCATTTTATACATTTTTAACTACAAAATCATTTTTAAATCTTACATTTGATAAATGTTGTCAAAAATCGAACTTTAAATACTTATAAAAAAAAATTGTGCCTATCTATTTTTAATATTTTTCAACTGCTATTAAATAAATATATCAGGACCCATGTATTACATTTTTAAGCTTTTTAGCCCAACAAATAAAACTGTATCTATTGACATTTAGGAATAGAAATAAAAACTAAAAAAATTTAAATTTGATATTGCCCGTAATCAACCCTAAACAATTCAAAATATTTTGAAAATTTGATCAAGTATAGGAATTGATAAAATAAACAAATTATATATATCTCAAGTGTCTACGGTTATTCGTTTTTGAATTACAACAAAATAAGAAAATCGCTAGATGAGAAATTGAGTGAATGTCCAATGTTGTAAACATTTTAACTTCAAACACTCATAACAATTTCATATTTGACTTTCTCATAGATTTTTTTTTTTTTTTGATAAAACTAGATAACCTCTTAAAAAATCTTGTATTACATTTTAAAATCTTAGATTTAAGAAGAAAAAGGTTCAGGAATTTCTAACTCAAAATAAATTGCACATTTTCGTGATTTTTACGCTTTTTGTCAAATTTTGAACTTCAAATGCTTATAAATAAAAATTCTGTTTATGGATTTTTAATATTTTTCAAATTTCATAGTAAGAACCTTGTATTAAATTTTCAAGCTTTTTTACCCAACAAATAAAATTTTATTGTCATTCATAGATAAAAAACCTAAAAAAGTTGGAAACTGAGTATATCCGTAAGACCGTAAACAGCTCAAAACAAGTCAAATTTTTTGAAAATTTTTCATGTATAGAAAAGGCTAATATAAACATTCAGTGAAAATGTCATGTATTTACGATAATTTATTTTAGAGTTACACCAAAAACCAAAATCAATTTTGTCAAATACCGATTTTGCGTAAAAATTCCCGTTTTTCCATAATTTTTTTTTTGTTTTTCCGGGTACTTTTGAAAACTATTGGGAATTTTAACCAACTAGATTA